GATGGCCTCCAACCTAATAGCAATGGCCTCCATCCTAATAGCGATGGTCTCCAACCTAATAGCGATGGCCTTTAACCTAATGGCAATGGCCTTCAACCTAATAGCGACGGCCTCTAACCTAATAGCGATGGCCTTCAACTAATAGCGACGGCTTCCAACCTAATAGCGCTGGCCTTCAACCTAATAGCGAGGGCCTCCAACCTAATAGCGATGGCCTCCAACCTAATAGCAATGGCCTTCAACCTAATAGCAATGGCCTCTAACCTAATAGCGATGGCCTTCAACCCAATAGCGATGGCCTCCAACCTAATAGCGATGGCCTTCAACCTAATAGCGACGGCCTCCAACCTAATAGCGATGGCCTTCAACCTAATAGCGATGGCCTCCAACCTAATAGCGATGGCCTTCAACCTAATAGCGACGGCCTCCAACCTAATAGCGCTGGCCTTCATCCTAATAGCGAGGGCCTTCAACCTAATAGCAATGGCCTCCAACCTAATAGCGATGGCCTTCAACCTAATAGCAATGGCCTCCAACCCAATAGCGATGGCCTCCAACCTAATAGCGATGGCCTCCAACCTAATAGCGAGGCCTCCAACCTAATAGCGATGGCCTTCAACCTAATAGCAATGGCCTCCAACCTAATAGCGATGGCCTCCAACCTAATAGCGACGGCCTCCAACCTAATAGCGATGGCCTTCAACCTAATAGCGATGGCCTCCAACCTAATAGCGATGGCCTTCAACCTAATAGCGACGGCCTCTAACCGAATAGCGAGGGCCTTCAACCTAATAGCAATGGCCTCCGACCTAATAGCGATGGCCTTCAACCTAATAGCGATGGCCTTCAACCTAATAGCGATGGCCTCCAACCTAATAGCGATGGCCTTCAACCTAATGGCGACGGCCTCTAACCTAATAGCGATGGCCTTCAACTAATAGCGACGGCCTCCAACCTAATAGCGATGGCCTTCAACCTAATAGCGAGGGCCTCCAATCCAATAGCAGTGTTTCCGACGTTTCAATCGCAGTGTGTCAGGCCACGGCCCTGCGTTGAGCCGCTGCAGAAGTTGCCACTGATGCCATGCTGCATGGACGTTTCAAGACACCGAGCAGTTCTTACAAATATCTTTTCTTTTCGCTACAAGGGGAATAGTCAAATCCAACAGCATTCGGCATCGTTTTATAAAAGGATCGTATCGTTTGCAAGCTTGGTTTTGCTGTGGCGACGATGCCTTAGAGAGAGGGTGCTTCCGGAGTTCCTGGCCGCGGCTTCCAAAATGTCGCGCAGTGTGTCATTTCGTGTGCAGTGCAGTTTGTGCAAGGAGCTAATCCTTCATGCTCCAAAGTTGGTCACCAAAGTTATCCAAAGGTGATCCAGCAAGAAAGGACAGGCCTATAAGAAAAAAAGACACAGAAAGAACACGCCATGGGTTTAGAAAAAAGGATTGAAAGGTCTTGATAGGCTCGCCCCAAGTTGGGAATCATGGAACTGCAGACAGGGCCCGAGCACATGTGTTCCGCTGGGGCCCGGGCTGCGGATGCATACGTTTTCTTCCGAAAGCTGCCAGATGTGCCTTGGCCTTTGGCAGTTGGTCTTGTGAGGATATTCTTGTTGAGAGTAATCCAATCAAAAGATTGTCTTTGTATCTAGATTAAAATACGCATTCTCTTTCAAGGGGGCGAGTAGGCCAAGAGGATTCTCGACGGGAACAGGCTAGACTTAACATTCTGCAGGTTCCATGGCCTTGAGCTTGAGCTTTTGTTGCATCCATGTTTTTCCATGCCACTTGGCCCGAATCCAGGGGCCCCTTTCGAGCACTGACTCGACCACTGCGGTCGGTAGAAAAGCTGAGCCATTGCGGCTGTCCGGACTTCGTTCGTACTTCGTGTTTGAGCCCCTCGATACGCTCCACTTGTGCTCCACCCGCTACATGGTAGCGGAGCACGTTGCTCCAGCGACCTCTGCAGCTTTCGCCACTACATCCTGACCAAGTTCAAGAAGGTCTTCGCTGAGACTGGTTGAGTGGCTAGCTGCTGCCCCTTTTTTGCACTTCTCCTGACCTTGCTGAGCAAGGCCCTTTTTGCTGAAGATTTTCCCCCCTGGAGTTTGGTCAAGATGGCCGACAAGGATGCTTTCTCTGTCCCTTCCTGGGACGGCTCTGCCAAAAGCTGGCGCCGCTACACGCGGGAGGTTTCATGGTACTTCAGGGCTACGCCCATCTCCAAGCGGCGATATGTCGCCACCAAATTGCTGAGTCGCCTGACGGGACCAGCAAGGTTGCTTGCGATGTCATGGAGCGACATGGCCCTGGACGAGTATGACGGCACGAAGGTTCTCTTGCAGAGGCTAGCTGCCTCCCCGCTTGTGAGGAGATCGATTCCAAATGCCTCGGCCATTTGTGGTCAATACTTTGGCTTCCAACGAAAGCCTCACGAGGCGATGACGTCCTTCCTCGTCCGAGAGGCTCTTGGCTACAGCGAGTTCGTTGAGGCCTTGGTGAGATTGGCTGAGGAGAAGAGAGGTGTGAAGCAGGAGGATAAGGACTTTGGCTTGCCTCCAGAAGAGCCTGACTATGAGGACGGCTATGACTATAACCAGGACTATGACTGGTCCTCATGGCATGCTTGGGGTGAGTGGCCGCTCGACGATGAGAACGTTGAACAGCCTGAGGAGGGTGACTTCGACCCCAATGCACCGACGGCTCAACCAACATCCCTGCCGAGCGCTTCGACCAGAGCTGCTGCTGAAAGTGGTTCACCTCAACATGGTGGATATCATCGAGTTCCACAGGACATCTCGCCCAGCCGACGCTCAGCTGGAGTACAACCCTCTCAATCTGGCCTCGCTGATGATCTGTCAGATCTGAGCTTCGCTGACTCCTTCGTGCTTGGAGTCCTTAGGGGGTTCCGGCTTCTCCAATCGGCCGGACTGTCAGCTGAGGAGCGTCGTGACATCCTTTCAGCAACTCATGGTTCCCTGGACTTTGAGGAGGTGAGCCGTGCTTTGCAGACTCTCTGGGACGAACAGTTCATTGGTGCTCGAGCTCAGGTGTCGCACGTCTCCAACTGGCACGAGATGGCCGTGGTGGAAGATCCTGAACCTCATCATGATGACTGGTCATGGGATGCCTTTCAAGCTGAATGGCAAGGTGACGATTGGCCATCATGGGACTGGTCTGAGGTCAACTATGCCCACGAGACTGTGGATGACAAGGTCGACCAGGCCGAGGACGACGATGAGATCAAGGAGGCCCAGAAAGCCGAGAAGATGGCCGAATCTCTGGCCCTGGAAGCTCAACGATCTTGGGCAGATGCCCAGAAGGCCACGGCGGCCCTCCGACGTGATCGCGGTTTTGGACATGCTGCTCCCACATCGGGAAAAGGCCGTGGCCCCTGTTTCATTTGCAATGGACCTCACCTGTCTCGCGAGTGCCCCGACCGTCGACATCCTGGTCCTTTTAAGGGAAAAGGAAAGTTCAAACACCACTACATGACGGAGTATGACCCGTACATGATGGAGGACTTCATGATGGGCAAGAAGGGTGGCAAGAAAGGAAAGCAATCTCATTGGTTGGAGGCCCAAGCCTGGCACAAAGGCAAGGGCAGCCCGACACGCTTCAAAGGTAAAGGTCCTAGCCCTCGACCACCTGTCAATGCCTACAACTCTGAAGTCTTCTTCGGTGGCCTTGAGATGCAGGCCCAAGAGGCCGGAGCGCCACAGCCTGCGCCTTCTTTGCCGGCAACACATGGTTTGCTGGATTGCGGGGCGACGGCGTCTGCCGGTCCCCAGTTGGCCGTAGAGAACTTGGTTTCTGCAATCCTTGCCAAGGACAGCAAGGCAGTGATTCAAGTCCGCAAGGATGATAGGCCGCACTTTCGATTCGGGAACGGCAAGTGGGGAAGGGCTTTGTATCGTGTCTCGATGACATCGTCCGTTTCGGGTAGACCACATCATTTTCAACTATATGCACTACCAAATCCGTCGGACATGCGCGACCCATCGTTCAAGCCCTCATCCATGGTGCCGGTGTTGATCGGAATGGACCACTTGTCGGGAGCACGTTCTTCGATGGTCATCGATTTCGCCACCGGACTTGCCTTGGACTCTCATGAACCACAACCTGAGATCTATCAACTGGAGGTGAACCCCAAAGGACACTATGTGATGGACATTGTCTATTTCCTCACACGGGGACAGGAATGCCATGAAGGACACCCCCAGGTCTATGTGGTTGAAGAGCGTGCGGTTTTTGAGAATCACTTCATTCAGTTCATGCCCTTGGAGTTCATGACCACTTCAATGGACACCAGACCTCGGAACCATGATCGGATCGAACAATCTCGTCGACATTTGTTGACACTCCATGAACACATCCATCATCAATGTTCGGCGCTGCAGCCCACGACTCAAATGAGCCGGACTGACTTGGTCCAGCCTTTCAATTCGACGTCCCCTGATCGCTCTTGCCATGTCCCGCAACCGAGCTGCTCTCACAGAGAAGGAGGGGAACCTGATTTGGGACATACGCGGCGGCGCAGCCGATCTCCGGGAGCGCCTGACGGGCAGCCCGGACAAGCAGGAGCCTCGACCTTTCGACGAGGGCCGTGCAGTGGGGCCGGACAATCGCGATCCGAGGTGGAGTCCGGATCAATGGCCATGCTACGGGGAGCACATCGAGGACACCTGGAAGGCCAATCCTCATGCCAAGTATCTGCACTGTGCCACGTGCAACCTGAGGCTGCGCTATGTTCCTCGACACGGATCCCATGGGCAGAGCTCCAAGGTGCAGAACCCCACGATGATCCTCCGGATGCTGACGACCCTGAAGGAAAGGATGAACTCGGCGCGACCATCTGCCGCAATTTGCCTGGCCATGGAGAAGGCTATCGATGCCGAGGAGACCCTGTCCACCCTGATCGGACGTCAGATGATTGCCCTGGACAAGGAAAAGGAGCGCGAGAAAGACATCAAGGGCTACAAGACTGCTCCACCGTCCAAGGGTGCATCCAAAAGCAAGGCCGCTCCGTCAAGTTTGACCTCGAGCTGGGACGTGGTACCGACCACACCACCGAGCCCGCACAAGGATCCTCGGAAGAAGACATTCCGGGAGCTCGACCTGGAGGACCTGCTGAAGGAGGAGGAGATGCAGCAACTCATGAAGCTGCTGGAGGAGCGCCGAATGGAGTGCGACCAGGAGGGCACACTCACCGACCTTCCAAAGGCCTATGGGAGCGAGGCATGACCACATCCTCGACTACCACATCGCCCCTGCCGAGATCTATGGCTGCGCGGCTGCTCCTCATGGCTACAACTTTGATGACCGCTATGGCATCCACAACTATGAACTTCCTGATGGATGGAAGGGATGGCGTTTGGGAGGTGGCCTGTGCACCTCACTCCTGGCTCAGTGAGGCCTGCAGCCAACAAGGACTGAATCCTCGAAGGATCAACCTCTCCACTGGCTATGACATCTACCAGAGAACTACCTGGGATCATTTGAAAGTCCTTCGTCGCCAACATCGACCCAGGCGACTTTGGTTCAGCCTCCCATGCACGAAATGGTGTCGGTGGTCACATCTCAACTACCGGACCGAAGAAGGTCGTGCCCAACTGGAAAAGTACCGCCGGCGTGAGAGAAGGATGCTATGGATGGCGGCTCACTTCATCGAGGAGATCCTCAACGAGGATGAGGAGGTGGACATCTACTTTGAATGGCCCTGGCCCTGTGAAGGCTGGAACCAACACCCCATCGAGTACATCCACAAGATCCTGGCCAATCACGGACGTGAATGGCTCCCATGCCGGATTGACGGCTGCAACTATGGGCTTCGAGCTTCTGATGAATCCGGTGGCTTCCTCAAGAAGCAGTGGCGTGTCATGACCACCAACGAGCAGTTCCACAGCAAGTTCAAATGTAAGGTATGTCCTGGAGGCCACAGCCATACTTGGATTCAAGGCATTGAAACTGCCAAGAGCTCCTACTACCCATGGAGACTATGCAAATCCATCGCTTTGGCCTGGCGACAGGAGTATGTGTCCGACCGGAACCTCAAGCTCGTCTTTGCCCAGGAAGATCAGCCTGAAATGATCACACTTGAAGAAGAGCTTCACCATTTGGAGGAGCTACCTCATGTACTACCTGCCTTACAAGAGGAACCATCCTCGAGCTCTTCGTCACTGAGTCCTTCGAAAGAGGAGCTTCAAAAGTGGCAAGCACGGCTGTCACACTTCCACAAGGCAGCTGGACATCCCACAGCTCGGAACCTGGCCAGACTGGTCCGTGATGCAGGCTGTCCGGCCTGGAAGGTTCAAACCGCTCTTGAACACCAATGCGAGACCTGCAAGTCTCTCAAGATGGGCGGAACTTCATCAGGACAGATTCCACCTGCTGCAACTCATCCACTTCCTGGTGCCTGGGAATGCATTGGCCTTGACACCGCTGAATGGCTCGTTCCAGGACAACAGAAGAAAGCACGCTTCATCCTCATCATTGACCTCGCTACCAAGCTCCGTGCGGTTAAGCTCATCAAGGAGTACCCTGAACTGGCAATGCAGCCAGAATCCTCCGAAGAGATCATTGAAGGTCTTGTACATGGCTGGCTGGCGCACTTTCCGAAACCCAAGCTCATCGTGGCGGACAACGCCAAAAGCTTTGTCAGCGCCCGCTTCCATGAGTTCTGTGAGGCAGAAAACATCCAGCTGCACTTCCCACCAGAGAAGGAACCCTGGAGTCATGGCATTGTGGAGGCTGCCGTTGCGGACATCAAACATGTTGCAAATGCTATACAACTTGAAGCCTTGGACAACACACCAGCTCTTTCCCTCACCTTGGCTGCCTCCGCCTTGAATGGAACAGAGTTCACTGCTGGATACTCTGCGCATCAATGGGCCTTTGGCGCTCGCTATGCCATCTCCGACGAAGACATTCGGGTATGGAATGCCATTGACCCCAAGGAGGACTTTTTGCGAATCTCCAAGGCACGAGCAGAGGCTGAAGAGATCGCGAGACGATCGCGTGCGAAAAGGGTGATGAGCAAACTGACCAACACCACGGTCAAACAACCTCTGAGGACCTACAGTCCCACCGACCTCGTGATGATCTGGCGCAAAGTCCAAGCTGGCGAACAGCATCAAGGCTCTCGAGGAGGTCACAAGAAATCAGGTCGACCACGATGGGTAGGCCCTGGAAGAGTGGTTTTCGCAGAGAGCATACCTCATCAAGAGGTGACCGACCAGAGACAACGCATCCTGTGGGTTCTTGTTGGCCGCCGATTATGGCGATGCTCGGTCCACTCTGTCAGACCTGTCAATGAGGCCGAGCGACTACACATGAACTTCATGGAGGTGAAGATCCCACTCTCTGGAAGACGCTCGAAGATCTGATTCCCCGCAGGGAATATCAAGACATCACAAATGAGGAGCCCACTGATCGTGATCGTGAAATACCAGACTTGCCTCCAGAGCCGAATGCCACGACATTGGCACCGATTCGACGGGCTGTTGGAAAGTCAACTCTCCAACCATCGGACTACAAGGTGGTCAAGACGCACCTCAAGCCCGACTACAAGAGCACACATCGATCAAGTCACCAAAGCCTCAGCAGTACCTTCCACAGCCTGAGATCCCTATGGCGGACTACACGCCCACAGAACCACCTGATCCTGGTGAACTTCAGGAACGAATGGATGACGTCGCTGACAAGTCAGAAGCCGTGAACGACTATGACAACCCCGACCTCGAAGCTCCAGAAGCCAAAAAGGCCAAGCTGGACCATCGAACAGAATATGACCTCAAGTGGCTTGAACAGCTCCACGCAGAAGCTCAACAAGAAGTCACCCATGAAGATCTGTTCACCTTCCTCCAATCCTATGAAGGTGACTGTCTGCACATCGAGCTGGACCTGAACTTCAAGAACAGGCGAGATCGCCGCAACTTTCAGCTGGACCCCGTCCTGTACCTGACCAAGAAGCTGAACTCTGCCGAGGTGTCGCTCAAAGCTCTGGGACCCGATGACCTCATCCTCTTCACCAGAGCTAAGGCAAAGGAAGTCAACTCCTTCCTGAAGAATGGCGCTGTTCGGCGCTGTTTGAGCGATGAGGAGGTGAAGAAGGCCTTCGGCAGTGGAAGAATCTCAAGGCCAGATGGGTCTTGACTTGGAAACCCATTCCACCAGACGAGGTGGAGGAGAGCATCCGTGATCGTGAAACCAACCCGGAAACGGTGGTGGATGCTACCATCAGCCGAAAAGCCAAGGCTCGCATCGCCCTCTTAGGTTACCAACACCCATCATTGTCATTGTTGGAGAGAAACTTCAAAACCAGTGCCCCGGTGATCTCAACGCTTGGACGTCACATGATCTACCTGGCCTCCGTGGTGCACCAATGGCGCCTCACTGGCCTAGATTTGGCCACAGCGTTTTTGCAAACTATGCCCACTGAAGCCGATGATCAGCTCTACACCACGGGAGTGACTGAGCTCCGTCAGGCCTTGGGAGTGCCTGAACACTCCTGCCTCCGGATTCTGCGCAACATCTACGGGAGCACCACCGCTCCTAAAAGATTGTGGCTGAGCCTGAATGAAAAGCTCACCTCACTGGGCGGTCGCGCCATCCGAGGCGAGCGATGCTTGTGGGCCTGGTACAGCAAGCACGAGATGGATCCTGTCACTGGCAATCCACGCTTGCTCGGTCTCATGGGAGGACACGTCGACGACTTTCACCAGATCGGCGATGAGAACTCTCCCGAGTGGCAAGAAGTGGTGCAGCTCATCGACACCTCCTACAACTGGGGAAGCAAGAAACGTGGTTCTTACCGCCATGCCGGGTCCGATGTGCACACCATTGAGGAGAAGGATGGTGGCTTCCGCATCCAAGTGGATCAGAGCTTCTACGTTGAGGGCTTGGCTGACATCAGCATCGACCCTCAGCGCCTTCGAGAACAAGGTCCCTTGGCGCCTCATGAGGTCAACGCATGCAGGACAGCACTTGGAGCCCTCCAATGGCTCGCTGTCCAGAGCCAACCACTCATCACTGCCCGCTGCAACCTTTTGCTCTCTGAAATCACCACCGCTGGAACCTCGGAGAGTGCTCGCGAGATCCAGGCGATCATCAATGAGTGCCGTGCCCAAGCCACCTGTCTGGAGTTCAGTCGTTTTGATGACTGTGAGTCTTGGGACCAAGTCGTTTTTGTGGGAATGGGTGATCAAGCCCACTCGAATAGAGAGAAAGGGGGAAGCACTGGTGGGATGGTGATCCTGGCATCTTCTCCCAAATGCCTGGATGGAGCGGTGAGCAAGATGTCGCTGCTAGCTTGGCGCACCTGGAAGCTGAAGCGCCGTGCGGTGGGATCAAACGACGCAGAAGTGCAGTCGATTCTCGAGACCGAGGATGTCCTGTTCCGCTCAAGGGTGCTTTGGGCAGAGCTCCATGGCGCTGGGAAGCACGTGGCTTCCACACGTGGTTTTGACATGGTGGATGCCATGGAGGCGGTGGCTCGCTTAGTGAGAGGCATTTTGTGTACAGACTCAAGAGGAGGATTTGACGCCATTGAAGTCAGTGAGTCTCCACTTTTAGGTTTGACAAACCTCCGAGCGGCCCTTCAAGCATTTCAATTGCGCGACAATTTGCGTCGCACGGGCTGCACGTTGAGGTGGGTAGCGTCGGATTACGACTTAGCCGACGGGCTCACAAAGAAACGCCCCGAGGCGCGCATCGGCTTAGAGAGATTTTTGAAGTCATGGCTTTGGGCCATTGCATTCGATGCATCGTTCACGGCTGCCAAGAAGAACAAGCGACAAGGTCGCACAGCTGTGAAGAAGATCGATGACTTTGAAAGCTCAGGCCAAAATGAGTCAAAGACTCAAAAACCTTTTTTGCCGGTGCAGGTTCCATGGCCTTGAGCTTGAGCTTTTGTTGCATCCATGTTTTTCCATGCCACTTGGCCCGAATCCAGGGGCCCCTTTCGAGCACTGACTCGACCACTGCGGTCGGTAGAAAAGCTGAGCCATTGCGGCTGTCCGGACTTCGTTCGTACTTCGTGTTTGAGCCCCTCGATACGCTCCACTTGTGCTCCACCCGCTACACATTCTTTTTATCGATCTGTGTCTTTGTATTATGTTTTTCCGCTCCCCCATCCCTACTTGATTAAGTAGGCGGCTACTTAATTAAGTAAGGGAGAGGTAGCTACTACCTTACTTAAGCTACTAGCATGGACGCAGGATAGCTCATGCTTCTTCAAGGTAGCTCTCCGCCTGAAGGTGTGGGGGAGCTTCCTTGAAGAAGCGCTCGCACTAACGATTTGGTTCCTAGATTTTTAGGGAAACTTAGGTGACTACTAGCGATGGCCTCCAACCTAGTAGCAATGGCCTCCACCCCAATGGCGACTTAACTTCCTTGCTTCCTTTCCTTTCTTGTGTTCCCTTGGAGCAGCTTTTCTGTTCTTATTTTTTAAATTCTTTCCAAGTCCAAGTCAACAATTTCTTCGTTCGGACCTCAGGCAGCTCTTTGGAAATGCCTGTTGAGGCTGACGAGGATGCTTGATGTGCACATATGATTCATAGAACTATTTGATGAGGGTTGAACTCTCCTGCCTCGTGGCGAAGGAAGCGGTTTCAGAAGCTTCCTTCCAATCTGCCGATGAGGCCAGAGCAAGTCCCATAGGCCAACATTATTGGCTGAGATCAGCCTTGATTAGCATCCATTTCAAAGCTTCAATTATGTCGCTGTTGGGCCGAAAGAGGAAGAGGATGAGGACGAGCTAAATGATTTCAGTTTGGCACTCAAGTGATCGAGTCATTCGCTCCAGCGAGCGAGTCAATCTCGTCATTTTGCGGGAACCATGTGTGTTTGACAGCCAAAATGGCAGCGTTTCAAGAACTGCAAGCTTTTGCTACTGAACCGCTAAGTTTAGCTGCTCTGGGTTTCTTGCGTTTCTTGCTTTTATCCAAGAAGTTGAAGAACCCCAGCTCCACTGCCTTGCATGGAGTAGCTTCTCTTTACTACATATAAAATTGGCTTGCTACATACCTTCCTCACAGCCTACCCTCCAACAGACTTGAACCTGAAATAGATATCAGAATAGAAGGAACGTATTTTTTTCCCCCGGTTCTGCTCCTGACGAAGTCGCCCAAGGCGAAAATGCAGGAGGAGCATCTTCATCCAAGGCCGGACACTCACGAAAGGCAGCAAAAATGCGCTCACGTCCTTTTCTGTTTCTGTTTGGCTCTTTTTGCTTCTCTTTCTTCCATTTTTAGTTGCAGGGTTCGAGAGTGATACAGTAGTTTGTTCGAGTGAAATGAGCAATTCGTTGAGCAACTCAACAAGAAAAGCACTCAATGAAATTAGTTTCAGTGCGAATGCTAAGGCTGCTGGCGATGCACAGGCCTCTAACCTGGACTGGGGTCTGTTGCCTTTTTTTGACTACGAGTGTCAACACGTTATTGGGTTCCTTTTGCTATTAGGTTGGAGGCCATCGCTAGTAGGTTGGAGGCCATCGCTACGAGTGTCAACACGTTCGTGCATTTCCTCTGTTTCCTGAATGCTTGAGAATAGAAGTCACTGCACTCGCTGAACCAGAATCACCCTGAAACATTTCTGTCGTCCTCGGAATTTCTCTACTCTCCTCTTTCCATTGAAATCCAGGATGATGACGATGATGAGGGAGGTGCGTTCTTTGTTTGCTGAATCTAGCTGAGAAATGCAAACATCCCTTGCCAATCCTTGCCCTGCAAGGCAAAAGATGGAACCTCAAAAGAGATGGTGACAAGGTCGAGGGTAGTGGAGCCACACTTCTCCAAAGAAGGGTGCTAAGCTATACTCTACACAATTACAAATACGTACTTTGCTCTTTCTTTGCTTTGCTTGCAGTTTGAGTTGGTTGCCGCAATGACCTGGGAGCTCTTTGGATGAGAGTTTGCTAGGTAGCCCTGGAGCCTATATTCAACCGTCTGGCAGAAGATCGCGAGCATGTGAAGATTTCCAAAATGCAGCTCAGTAAAATGTAGAAGAAAGATGCAACCACTTATTTATTTTAGTGATTTAATTGTTACCAAAGCTCCTAAAAAACAACTCTGGACTCAAGAGTGTGAACTGGAGCCGAGGTTCTCGTATGTCCTTCGGCATGCTGCACATAAACTGGACGTGAGAATTCGCAAGGACGACCGAGGGTTTTCCTAGGAGCGATCGGACGCTACTAGGAGCAAAAGGGCATCGCTACTAGGAGCAAGGACGCTAGTAGGGGCTCCTGTCCACTCAACTTTCAAGTCAGTCGATGCAAAACACGCTTGAAACGAGCCGCAAGATTGGAACGGCCTTCAACTGGTCACACAGGCACGCATTGCCCCTCCAATTTTAAGGTGCTAAAATCCTAGGAACCAAGTCTTCCTGTTTTACTTTCCTCTTCCTCTTACACCCCATGCTGGTCCTTGGTTTGGTCCCTCAGGTGAATTTTAAGGGTAGTTGGAGGCCATCGCTCTTAGGTTCCATAGGCCATTGCATAAGGCTCAAAGGACCCCTAGCTTGAATGCGCCTCCACACTGTATACCAGGGGTAGTCACTCTTTCAGCAGTAGCAGAGCAGTGATCCAACAAATGCAGGTGATTTTTTTAAATGTTTCTTGGCTATGGAGTGGATAATATATGCATATGTATTATACATAGATGAGTGGGATGAGCCCGGTCATGAGTTTGCCTATGAGGCCAATGTGGTCAATAGACATGTGAGAAGAGATGCGCACGCAATGGGCAGTTGATACTGATTTGCTGCCAGAAGCGCGCTCAGTCTACATTGAGAGAAGGTCGGAAGGTCGCGCTTTGGCACAAAGCGTAAACTTCAGGTGCCTCCAACAATCACGCCCCTGTTTCTTGCGCCTTCGGAAGCAGAAGCTGTCTGAGGAACTGGACACGGTTGTGGTCTGCTTTTAGGCACAAAATGTCCATGTAAATGCTGATGCAGAAGCGACGCAGTTGGGGTGGGTTTGGGCCTTCAAGCGCAACGTGCCTCGCTTTAAGCTTGTAGTCCCCTTGCGGCTGCACTTGCTGAAGCCGCATGCTGCGGGTGATGGTTTGGGATCAGTTGATAGTTTTGTCATCTGCCTACCTCGCAAGAGAGGCTGGAAGCTGCCCGTGCGTGTATCGACTCTTGACCTGACTAGAACAACGCAGAGTTATCAAGTTGCGCTCGTCCAACCTAAGAGCGATGGCCTCCAATCTAATAGCAATGGCCTCCACTCTTATCTGAAGTCCTGAACAAGCGTGTATCAGCTTGCTTCATGCCTTGGTCTTGATCAATGGACAAGATGCCTTGCTGAATTGCGTGGCCTTGCATTCGTGTCGAAAAAGAGCGCCACTGCCCCTTAAAACACTGGCGTTCTTACATCAGTGTGCAAGCGCACTGCTGTTCATTTGCTTGGTTCTTGGTTTAATTCCAGGATGGCTTTGTCCGGCTGAAAGACATCATGGAACTCAAGAATTTTCGGCCATACAGCCTGGAGGCAAGGGGTTGTTGGAAAGAGGGTTTGCCCTCTTGTTGGCAAAGTTAGCCACAGCGCTGCACTCTTGATTTTCAATGGCTTGACCTCTTGGGGCATTCCTGTCTCGTGATGAGGAGTTGATGGCTTGTGTCTACTTTGACGAGAAGGAAAGGTACACAATGGCAAAGTGCTCAGGGGGAGTGACGAATGTTGGTTTGCCAGTGATTTGAAAAGGCACATTTACTCATTGGAACTTCATTTCAATCTGTGGTTCTTTGTCTCCTCTGTTGTGATCGTGGGCTTTGGCGGTTGTCCCTGCTCAACAACAGATGCTCTTTCATTTTATTTTGACTCAATGACTCGATTCTTTTGGTGATCTGGCAGTAGCAAGAGAAGGTTTTCAATCAGTCATACATCATTATCATACATATTGATAACAAAAATAATAATCAGCATGTCACAGCCAGCCTACTCCCATTTTGTGAATGAACATGAGAACATTTTTTGACATTGATTTTGAACAATACTTGTAGTGCCGTCTATGGAGGCAAACAATTGAGTTGAAGCATTGCCGTGCTCGAATTCCTTCTGAAGGTTTGAACACACCGCACCACCTGGACATTGATGGAAATTGTGTCTGATGTTCTTTCATGACGGTCGAGCCAAACCCTCCCGCAAACGGTCCCAAAGATGAACCTGTTGCAAGCTGTGACAAGAAAACAAAAGAAGCATGGCCCAGCTACTAGGGGCTCCTGGCCTTACTACTAGGAGCAAGGATGCTACTAGGGGCTCCTGGCCTTACTACTAGGAGCAAGGATGCTACTAGCAGATCCTGGCATCGCTACTAGGAGCAAGGATGCTACTAGGGGCTCCTGGCATCGCTACTAGGAGCAAGGACGCATCGC